CTACTAGTAAGGCACTTGTTACTAGTAGCGATGCACTTGTTCCTAGTAGCTTCCAAGTTGTCCCCCACTTGGCTGTAGAAGTCCACCAGACCCCCGAAGATTTTTCGAACAGCTCTGCTGTAGAGAGTTGTTGGGGTTGTGCTCAGAAGGGGAGCAGGCCTTGTACTGCGACTGTTCTGACGCTGAGACACATTAATTTGTACTATAGTGTTGCGCAAAATGCAAATCAAAAGACATGGTCCTGGGACACAGGCGGGGCATGGACACAGTCTATATATTTAGGCGACCTTCATCCAATCCCAAACTAGATTGCTGCACTCATGATTGTTGTGCTCAGCGCTTCCAAACAACTTGAAAGTAACCACAAGTTGAAGTTCAAGTTTCCATCTCCATGCTAGCCAGCTATTGCCCAGTCCCAGAGATCATTGCATGTCTCGCCACCCCGAAGTTGTGCTCCAATATATACACTATTGAACGCTCAAGCGCCCACCTCCCGTTTCGCAAGAAGCCCAACCGCAGAGTTCCCTGCTTCATATATTCATCACCTTCAAAAGTGCATCTTAGAGGAAGCAAAACCCGCACTCTTCAAGTTATCGCCTGCATTGGAGGGTGATCAATGTCGCAGGCCCCGCAGGCTGCCAGATTTATTTTGCGGGAGCCACTTGCTTGCCAGTTTGCCGGGAAAACCGCAAACCTCTATCATGATCCCCACAAAGGTTTTCTCAGCTGCCTTACTGTGGACTTTTGCATCAGGACCATAGCCACCCACCACCAACACCTGACGACCACCGACCACGCACGTCACGTCTCCGATCTTACTAACAAATGAGGAACAAGTTGAGGTCATGCTTCACAACATGGATTCCTCCTCGATGCCTCGTTTTGCTGAGGTTTCTTGCTGTCGTGCGTCAAGGTAGAGGATTGGGATTTGGCGTGGCCCCAGGCGGGATACGGTTGTTGGAAGATGAGGCCATTTTGCTGAGTGTAACCCTTACAGGTCCTGTAAATGTCTAAGTTGACATTTTTTCACTGACCCACCACTGTGTTTGTTAGCCCCTGCTTCCAAAGGATGAATTTGCCACTTATGCAACTTCGAAGACTTTACATACTCCTGGGTACGCATTCCTTCCTAAGTGTCACTCATCCAGAATCCATGTTTGGCACACCGAATACTCACCTCAACTTGGCTACACTAAGTGGAGGCTTCGACATGGATCCAATTTTTGTTGTGTTTGTTGCCCATGTTCAAAGTTTGTTTTTAGTGGTAACCTCACACGAACAAACATGATTGGATAGGAGGGATACCGTGATACCAGCTTTAACACATCAACACGGGAAAGCTAAAAAGCAGTGGCTTTAGGCTGCATATTCACCAAGATATTGTCTCCTCGAAGCAATAGTGTTTCTTTATGAGGTCTTTTTGTGTTGATTTCCAACAGGGACTCCTGAAGACAATTTTGCCGATGTCTTGAATGTTTATGTCAATGTTTCAATGCCTTGAAGTCTGAAGGGAGCTTGTCACTGTGCAGTGTGTCACATTTGGTCACGATTAGGCATTGTATTTGCTGGTGGACGCTTGTCCGTCCGAAGCTAAGTTGTCCATGCGTAAATGAAACCGATGTCACTTAATTGAAATTTAGTTCGAGTATCAAGTTAACCATTTGATGTAGACTCAGTTACCGTCATACACCCAAACAAAGGATGTGTCCTGCAAACGCCTGAGCTGAGGCGGTGGGGCTTGGTGCCTTCCAGCGAGCACTTTGCTTTGGTGTTGCAAAGCCTCCCTCGGAACCAAGTGAGAGGCTTAGTCTTTTCTTCTCCAACGAGACGCCAACGGCTTAGCTATACAAGCTAGATAGGTTTGCAAGACAAGGAGATGTTCAGAGGAAATGATCTCACACGTGCCTCAAGTCGTTTAAGTCGTTTGGAGAACGACATCTGAGCCGCTGACTCTGAGGTCTCTTGGCGTATTGCCACTGAGCTTCTGGCCGAGATGAAACTGTCCGGATCAGAGGGTCACCGAGCACCGTCGGACATTCGTCACAAAAAAAAAAAACATATTACGTTATGTTCTGAAATGCTTTTTAAAAAACACTTAATAATGTTAAACAATTACATGTTGGAGCCCTCGGGCTTCACTTTGGTTTGTGCGGTTCCCATAGTTGACATGAGGTTGGATGTTACAAGGGACACGGCAATTGATCTCATGAGGGTTTCAACCATGATCATCAGCCCTGAAGAGACTTCCATGTGCTTTGGCCGTCTTGAGGTGTTGTCACTATTGTGAAGAGATTTTGTTGCCTCGAGCCTTATATGGGGACATAGGTTTCTTCGAAGTTGCTTAGTTGCCACAGGAAATATGCCTCTAAACTAATCTTTTTATGCAACACCTCCAAGTCCAGCAAAGCGGATATGCATCAGATGTCAAAATCAGCAAGTATACTTGTGGGTTTGTTCCGTGTCTCATAGGAGTCTCCTTGATACTTTTGGAGCCAGACTATCCTCTCAGAAATATAAGTTTGGCTGTAAGAAAGACGGTTCATCCTCACTACTCCTTCCCCACAGGGCGAGTTGGGTTGACATCGCCCGGGTTGTCAAAGTGGTTCCCCGCACCTCCATCTTTACGGCCTTGGTTTGTTTGTGACCTGGCCAGTTTTCCGTTGCCCAGGCTGGGCTTGCAATACACTCCGCAGTGCTATGGTGGTGCTGCTTCTCGACCGAGCGAGAAATGACACTGAGTCGCCCACTTTCGATGAATGTCACCGCTCTTGATGTAATTTTGGTAAAGTAAAACGGACTAATGGACTTGGGTCATCTTGGGTCCCTTTAGTGAGGGTCAAGAGCGATAAGCTCTCTCAAGTTCCTCCCTGTCGCACAGGGCCATGAGAAGACACCATGACTCGTCATGACACAATCCGTTTCGGCTGTGGATTGTGCACCGGCTGAGGCCCATACCTTTGCCCTTCGTAACTTGGCAGGGTCTGGAGCTTCGTGAACCGAGCTTCTAAAAAATTGGGAACGAAAATAGAACCAGGTGAGAACGAAAATGGAACTCGGAAGATATTTAATTCAGTCCGTTCACAACATGAGTCATTCATCTGACATGTCGAACTTGGACTTTCCAAGGGCCTAGTGCAGTTTAAGCTTTGACAAGGCAGATTTTCTGAGCACCGAACTACAGTCCTCTTTTGCCACCCCTGGAGGAATGTGATTGAGCATGACCTGAGCCAAGGCAGATCCAAATCAATCAGACCCAAATGTCTTGAAAGATGTTTTGTCATCTTCCAAGCACATCCAAACTCGAAGACAACAACCTCGATGTTAGGTTCATGAGGGAAGGACGTGGGAAGAATACGCGCTGATAAAACGAATAATATAAAAGAAATAGTAAAGACCCGGTCTCAAAGGACGACCTTTTTTCCCTGAACTGAACAGCTGCAATAGCTGATGGCTCAAGAGCGCTCATTGCGCCAGCCCAGCTCAATTGTCTACGTCCCACTGCTTGGCCGCTGTGCAAAGCAGACGCAGTGGTCGTCACTTGGTGGACACGGCTTAGGGGGACGTCCCTCGAGGCCACGAATAGACGCAAAAAAGAAGACTTGAATAGACTGCGACTCGTGATTTGAAGCATGTTTCTACTGGTAGCTACTTGCTACTAGTAGCGATGGCCTCCAACCCAATAGCGATGGCCTCCACCTAGTAGTATTCGGGGGGGGCCAAGCAAAATTTATAGAAAAGTATATAATTGAGGGTTAAAGACACGCCCTTCAATTAAGTTCCAAAAAATCAGGAATGTGCCCCCTCAATTAATCTATTTGATCAATTGAGGGGCCCCCCCCCAGGGTCCTATCAAACGTAGGGTCCGGTCATGTTCCTACATGTTAGTGTGATTGCAGTTTGTGATAAAAGTTGGATAATACCCCCTGGCCCGTTTGCCCTGCCACCCTGACTCGTTCGTAGGTTTGGTCTGCAATTGCTACGTGACTTTCGGGCAAGGCGTGGCAAGGATGACCTTTTCATCTGCGGTTCCTGGGTCAAACGGAAAAATAGGTAAAACAGCCAAAGGAACCTTCATCGAGAAAAAGTAGACCTTCATGAGTTGAGAGGGACGAGTGCCTATGTCGTTTGGGGCTCAGACACCACGAAAGAGAACACATGTTTGCTGTGTCGGACATGTTTGTGTTTGTCGTTTGCGATGACAAGCTGACGGTTGCTCCAAACCAAGGTTCCAGCATTCATGCGTGTGAGAAGAGTGGTCAATGGCCACAAGCTCTTGCCTTGTTGCAACAGTTGGACTGCTGGACATTGGAAGGTGGGGAAAAAATGTGAAGCATGCAGAACAAATTCTCCACGGTAGGCACTCAGAGACTTGGATGTTTTGCGGTCACATGAAGCGATGGCCTCCAACCTACTACGTAGCGATGGCCTCCAACATGGATGAATGTTTTTGGAACATCTTCATCCAGGCCTTCCCTGGTTGACCTTGGCAGATCATCAGGACGTCCAATTTTCTACTGATTGCATGGCACGCTAGGATTGGAGTGGCCCCGACCACAGCATTTTTGGAGCACGTTATGCTATCCGATGACGTTATATTGTGTGTGTGCCCAAAACAAGAATCCAAAGCCACAGTCGAGTGCGTCGAGGCAATGTGGTGGTCCATGGATCCGTACTTTCTGCCGCGACACACGGGCAGGGCTCAGAATGGGCATCAGCCACGGCGCTCCTTTGCGCTTTGCAAGACCAAGAGATACAGAGCAATGTGACGCTGAGAATGCACGGCTAACTAGAAGATTGATTTAGTATGTTGGCATGAAGGGCTCTGTGTAACAGACGAGTTCTTTGCAGACAGTTTCGAAGTTCAACATTTGTCTGAAGGATGGCCCAGGTATGCCCAGGTGTTTGCTGTCATTTGTTTGTGTCAGGATCATCTACAGCTCCAGCATCACTGCGACGAGTCTTGGCCAAAAATGGCAAGAGGCTTTGCAGATCTTCTACTCCGCCCGTGCTGCTGGCGCCTTGGGCGTGCTTGGCGCTAGAGCTTTTTTTGAGCAAACACCTGAAAAACCTGAAACCATCAGCAAAGACTTCAGATCTCTTCAGATTGATGTCAAACACCATTTATGTTGTCGTTTTATGCTTCAGATTTGCTCCGAATGAAAGCATTCACGTTTCCTCCCATTTGTGGTGCTATCACTTCAAGGCGCAGTGAACCTCATCGTCTACAACGCAGCCATCAGCGCATGCGAACGCGGCAGCGAGACTGGGCTGGAAAGTCTATAGTGAGACTGTTCAGCAAGAAAAAAATTGAAGAACGGCCGGATCAAATGTGTCGATGAAAGAACTGAAAAATCTGACAGCTTCACAAGGACTGGCAAAGGGCCTTGTCTTTGATGGAAGACCTGAAAGACAAAGTTCGAATCGATGTGATCACCTACAACGCTTCCTGGCAAACAAGAATGTCGGATGAACGAGTGTGGTTGGACTGGAAACTTCCGCCATGTGTCGTGCGTGCATTTGAGGGACCATCCGAGGATTGGCCTCCGCTAGAGTGTACTCACTCTACTGGTAGTATTTCATACTGTATCCCTGACTTGACCATCTCTGCCTGCAATCGGCATCCCAAATATGCAAAGCAAAGCTCCAAACATCGCAAAAGTTCAACATGCAGGCTGCTATCAGCGCGTGTGAGAAGAGTCGCCAATGGCTACGAGCACTGCAGCTATTTGACCAAGAGGAGAGTTTTGCTGACACAAAAGCCAAGCCATGAAAGTTAATAGCGATGGAACCTAATAGCGATGGCCTCCAACCTGATAGCAATGGCCTCCACCTAGTAGCAACGGCCTCCAACCTAATGGCGATGGCCTCGAACCTACTAGCCATGGCATCCAACCCAATAGCAATGGCCTCCAACCTAATAGCAATGGCCTCCAACCTAATAGCAATGGCCTCCAACCTACTAGCAATGGCCTGCACCCTAATAGCAATGGCCTCCAACCTAATAGCCATGGCCTACAACCAAATAGCAATGGCCTCCAACCTAATAGCGATGGCCTCCAACCAAATAGCAATGGCCTCCAACCTAATAGCGATGGCCTCCAACC